TATATAACCATGGTTACACTTATGGACATGTGTCAAGTGTTGAGAATGGTGATGAACATACACCTTGAGTTAAAGTGGTGTGCAAAAAGGCTCTTTTGTGTAATGTGCTAAGATATTATTTCCTTAAGTAAATGGGACGTTGTTTTTGTTTTTCTTGGAAAAGTCCTATACATATAGAATATGGAAAGTCATGAATCAAAGGAGTTAGGAATAAGAAAGAATGAATGGGTATGAGATCAACTATTGTCTCCTAATCAAATCTGATTCTTGATTCTTTCAAGTATCCTATACATATAGAATATGGAAAGTCATGAATCAGAGGAGTTAGGAATAAGAAAGAATGAATGGGTATGAGATCAACTATTGTCTCCCAATCAAATTTGATTCTTGATTCTTTCAAGTATTTTATGACGGATTTTAGTTGAACCCACATAAATTATTGTTTTATTCCTTATATATTTGCAAACGTATAAATATTCATGAATTGAAATGATTGCAGTACTCATATACCCATGAAAAGTAAGAAATGAGAATAACTATATAATTTTATAAAAGAAAAAAACATGAGAACTATATAATAGCTCTAAGTACCATTTAATAAACGTAAGACATGTAGAATATTTCCAATGCAGCTAACGACATATCATAAAAGGTAATACAGTAAGTTTGAGAATTATTCCACATGTCCTATGTATATTAGATGGTACATCAGGCATGTGGTGTACCCAGAAGATATATCGCACGAGCTTGAGTGAGCCCAGCCCAACAGTAAGAATTAATTGGTAATTATCGCAAGAGCTTAATGTCAAACTCGTCATTTACAACACCGAGTTGTGAGCTCGTGAGTATAAAAGCACCAACTACAATCCCTTGCGAAGTCGATTTTGGGGTTTTAGGGTTTTTGCAATACGCACGCTTTCACTTTCTCCTATAACTCTTCCAATTTACAAACCAAAGCCATGACTGCTCAGACCCAGGAAGAGCTCCTCGCGGCCCATCTCGAACAGCAAGCCATCGATGTAAGTCTTAACTCTCTCTCTCTCTCTAAAGATTAATGGTTTTGTGGTGCCTCTGTGTGTATTTGAGTGGAGAGTCGGATAATTTGTATATCTACATGTTGTAAATGCCAGTGCTTTGCTTTACTTTCTTTGCCACTGGAAGACATCATTTGCTGAATTTCTGGATGGATTTGGTAGTTAAAGTGAAAACTTCAAGTGGGTATTGAATGAAAATATTATCTCACTTATTTTGTCTTGTTTCTATATTTTTATATGTTCAATCATATTTTACTTAGTTAACATATAACCTTCAAATTTTATGACCAAAGATCTCTTGATTTGGTAAATTACCTGACCCAAATTGATTTTAGTGAAGTTATATATAGTTGAACAGATGCCAAAGAATGAAAGTACATGCAATGAAACACGTTTACATCAAAATTATTCTACCTAATGTTTTTTCTTTTTCAATGATGCCAATGGATATCAAAATTTGGATATTTTTCGTTATTACTTTCTCTTGTTTTATTACCTTTCTGATAATAGGCTGGGATGTCTTTAACTAAATACCTTTTGTTGGCAGCCTGATCAGCCAACAGTTGAAGAGGAAGATGACGAGGATGACGACGACGAAGATGATGATGATGACAAGGACGATGATGAAGCTGAGGGTAAGTTTATTGTCAAGTTTTTTCTTAGCTTCCCCCCTCCCTCACTCTCCGGCCTCTCTATCCCTTGTTAATAGGATGCATATGCATTTATTAATTTTCTGGGCACTAGTTATGTGGACTTGTAATAATTTTTTGTAGGCTGGAATGTAAGCCGTGCTTTTAGTTTTAATATTCAAAATGTATTATTTATACATGAACTCTCTAACATTTAGATTGTCAAAATTTGTTATCTTTCACATCACAGCAAGTCTGCAACATATGAGCCATCTAGTTGGGTTGTTTGATTTTACATTAAAATTTTAGTATGGGATACTCTAGTTTATAATTTTCATCTAAGGCCACAATGCTCTAGTCATACACGTGGGCTTAGAAAAATGAAATATTAGAGTGAGGCTAATGGTTTGAACAAATGAACTTCCAATGGTATTTGATCATACAAAATGAACGAAGTTTGTTAATTTACAGTTTGGGTCATGATGCTCCTACCTAAGACATGTAGACATTCTCATTAAGGACACAACCTCACCTGGTTTATTCTTGTTTAACATGTTAACTTTCTAATTATCTTCTCATTGTTTCCCTATGTGATCAGGACAACAAGATGGAGAGGCAAGTGGGAGGTCAAAGCAAAGCAGAAGTGAAAAGAAAAGCCGCAAAGCAATGTTGAAGCTTGGAATGAAGCCCATTCCAGGTGTTAGCCGGGTTACAGTCAAAAAGAGCAAGAATGTTCGTGCATTTCCTACCCTGATCTTTTTTTATTTGATTCCCTTTTAAAATTTTCATTCAGATTGGTATATGGCTTTTTTGTTAACATAATATCTGTGGCTTTAAATAACCAGATCTTGTTTGTGATATCCAAACCGGATGTTTTCAAGAGTCCAACTTCAGACACATATGTTATCTTTGGTGAGGCAAAGATTGAGGACTTGAGTTCGCAACTACAGACTCAGGCTGCTGAGCAGTTTAAGGCTCCTGATCTCAGTCATGTGATCTCCAAACCTGAGACCTCGACCCTTGCTCAGGATGATGAAGATGTAGATGAGACTGGGGTGGAACCCAAGGACATTGAGTTGGTGATGACACAGGCAGGAGTATCAAGATCAAAGGCTGTAAAGGCACTGAAGGCTGCAGATGGAGACATAGTTTCTGCAATTATGGAGCTTACCAACTGAGTTTTAGATATGTTTTCTCATTTGATGGTTTTGTTTTTTGTTTTTTTTTTATGGTTTGTCCAGATCTTTTGTGCTTGAAGTTGGTCTGGATTATTTCCAATTTAGTTATGTGTTTCTCAACCTTGTTGTATCAGTGACAAACTGAGAATTGCATAAAACTGAGCCATGCCCATTTGAAGTTTAGTAGCTGTACTTTTTACTGATTTGTGGTCAAGTTGTCAAGTTCACAACCATAATTTCATCATGGTATGACGCAAGTGACAGTCCCAAAGTAAACACATTCCATGGATTCCATGAAACCATAGCGCAAGCCCAAATTGTGCCTTTCTCTTGCTTCCAAAATCTCGACTGGTTTTGGAAATTTCATGCCTATTTGGAACTCGTTTTTGGCAAGTAGATAGAACGTTGTGAAATCGATAATCTGGTGATGAGTTTGAAAATGGACGGTACTTGGTAAATGTTAATGACAGGCTCCCTGGGTAAGCGTTTTAGGTTTGCCTGTGGCTCCAAAGTACGGAATGTTGGTTTTGTTATCATCTAACCGGGGCTGGAAGTCTGTCCATGATTAGGGTTTATGGGGTGCAATTGGTAATTGGATGTAATTTGGAGTTGGGGTCAACAGGGTTGCGTACAAATCTTGTATTGGTAAGATACAAATTCAGCTTGTGCAAATACGACAGAGCATGCTGGGGTTAGGGGACATCAAGAACGAGAAAAAAAGAACATTAGATTTTATTGTCACAAGCTATGACATTAGATTTTTTCAATATATGAAAATATAAGTTGATTATATCAAGGGATTGCAACTGTGGGATGACAAATCTTGTTCCTGGTACCTAGTCTCTAACCTGAATACAGTAATCAACCATAATTTAAATTTAACAAAATTTTCTTTTGTTTGGAAACAGAGAAATGTTTAACACCCAAAAAGAGAGAAATAAGCCCACAAAGACTAGGCAAAATTTCAGTTTGTCTAGGGCAAGTAACTCCAAGAAGAGGAAGGGCCATTACCACCAAAGCTTTCCCGTTTTCATGTTGAAGCACCATACTTGTGCCACCTCTCCTAGCTCCTGCATTTTAAGCCCCATCAACGTTCAATTTCAAAGAGCCTCAATCCGGTTGCCTAGCCTCCATCTGGCCTCTGCCTCCACGAAGGTTACGTAGGCGATGTGGCTATACAGCCTCCCTGAATCCTCCTGCTATCTGCACAGCACGATCGAAAGGCACGTGGGGTTCATCAGGGATTTCAGCATGCACCAGCTTATTATTCATGCCATTCCTAATCTTCCACACGACATATACCTATAATTTTGTATACATGTAGTTTTATGATAATGTACTAGTCATGCTAGGAAAACCACATTATTAGACCACCTTGTAAATCATCTCTCTCTAATAGAGGTGGAGGAGTTCACCAATGTAATAAGGCCCCACTCTATTAGATCGGTGGTTAACAAGGTGGTCTATAACCGCAGTCTCCCTAGTATTTCCCTAATGTAATTATTATTGTTTATGATAAGGTTCTGCCATGGAGGCCTTTCCTGTTCTATTGTCAGAAGAATGATATGGAGATCAGTTCACAATCTCATCCACACAGGCTTGCGTAACTACCAGATGCATATAGTAGTCTATTCAACGAATTTCTTGCTCAGAATCAACGCACTATATCTTAGTCAGACCAAAGGAACAAAAAAAAAAAAAACAAAAAAAAAACAAACAAACAAACAAACAAACAAAGAAGAAAAGAAAAAACACAGCCGAGAACTGAGATCAATTAATAAATTGACAATGTATCACAAGTTTCATTACATCTGCATAAATTTGGTTTTTCAGAAGCTTCCAACAACAAAAAGAAAGAAAAGAAAAAAAAAGGATTTTCTGGAGCTTGTGCTGCATAAAAGAATTTCCAACCGACCCATTCCTCATGACCTGCAAATCACAGTTTGACACTTACAAAAATAATCCATCAAAAGTACAAAAAGAAAAGTTCATGCACATATGTCAAACTGTACGGAGGAATGAGTCTTTATATGGAAGGAGACATGTAATTTATTTTCCAAAGTAAGTGATCATCACTTTTGGCCATGACTACTACCTCCACAAGTTTCAGAATAATGAAAGCAATTGGTGAAATCATATGCAAAAACCATGGGCCTTCTAGTTCTAAGAGTAAGGATACTAATACAGCGAAAAGCAAGAAAAGTAACTTCAGTCTCAAAAAGCATCCTAGTTTGTTGGTAAAATTAGACCTGTATACCAATACGTACAAGTACAATGATAATGTATCCAAGCATTTTAACTTCGGGAGAGCCTGGCTAAATGAATTCAAATTGGGTATGCATTTAAAGTTAGTTAAGAACCTCATGAGATAATGCAAGGCTGATGGTTTAATATAGGTAAGATGACAGGAGGCATTCTTAAAGAAAACATCGTTAAGAAGGGATGTTAAAATATTATTCACCATATTTCATACATGTACATACTGCCCCTGTATACGGTAATGTACAACCATGACCTACCCGGCTGTGATCACTAGTGCAGGCAACAAAAATATCCCCTCTTAGAGATGACCCTTATCTTAAAATTTACCAGCACTGGAGCCTTTGAACGTATGTGATCCATAGTAAATCCCCCACCATCTTCTTACCAAAGGATCTCAAGCATTTCTCAATGAGGCGCAGTTGTTCTTCTGCTGTCCTCATTTTGAAAACATTACAGCAAACAGCAACATCATTTACTGGCTCCAATAAAGTCCTTTTCAGTCGAGAAAAAAATCCATCATAGCAGAGGACACACAAAAATACCCTGTACAGAATCAAGATTATCCTAAAAGTACCAACACCATTAGAAAACCAAAGTTATGTACAAGGACTGTACCCATTAGAAAAATCAAGATTATCCTAAAAAATTATCCTACTGAACTTCAAGCGAGATTAATATGAGGTATATTTTTAACTTAATGAACTCTTTCATCTGCCCAACTTGTTGCAAAAACATTAGAACAAACACCACAATTTTCTGCTTCAAATCCAGAAACATCCTGCAAACTCATCCACTGGAAAACCAGAATTTGAATCCATTTCAATTTCTCAGTAACAAAAACCATTCAAGAATCAAAAGAAGCCCCGACGTCTAGCCAAAAAGAAAGCAACATTAGAACAAGACAAACAAAAATGGAAGTGATAGAAAAGCCAAAATGTGTCACTAACATATAATGCCTTTGATTCTAGTGGAATGGACTCTTTGATATTATTCCCTTTATAGATACAATTATAAATGTCCACTTGGAAATATAAAATTATTAGTAAAAGAACAATGGGCAGTCGAAACTAACTGATTATGTTTAAAACAGTGTTCTCCTTCTCAACAGATGCAGCAAGGACTTCATGATACTAACAGAAGGTATAGCTAATAGCAATCGCAGTCCAAACATGCTCTTAAACCAATTAAGTGCATGAAGATGGAGTTTCGCTTTTTATTATTTATGTGCCTGATATTAGGGAAAAAGTTATGTAATGTGAATGAATATGTATAACGAATCAGAAAACGAGAGTCAACCAAACAAATCTAAATGATTACATATAAAAAAAAAAGAACTCTAAATCTAGAGCAAAGAGACAATAGTTCAATACAAAATTTCACAGGTCCACTTACTATTGCACTAAGGAATCTCTATTGTCTCTTCCTTAGAACTATGGTATATCTCCAGTAGGTCTGGGACTTCATTCAAATATTTAAGAACATAATAATCCAAAAATCTCCTCTCACTTTGTGTGATCAACCAACACAGCCTCTTGTTGTCCCTTTTTATCAGCTTCTTAGAAACCAAAATCTTGAAAACATTATACCTTGGTAGAACTGTTTTCTCAAAACCATGCATAAGAAGCATGGGATTGGCAATCATGGTCTCCGGTTCCAACTTCACAGTGTTCAGAAAGAAATCCATGACTCTCCCAAGTTTCTCCTCCGAACAAGCTAAACAAAATGGTTGGCGCTTAAAAACTGACAGAACAACATCTTCAGACCACCCGTAGCTCTTAAAAAAATCAATTTTCCTTTTCCATGTTGACTCTTTCATAGAGATCATAACTCGAACAGCCCGGACAAACATAGGACCAGTCGGGTCAATGCCCAAATCTTTTATTGTTCTAACTGCATAAGCCATTCTGTCAACATTTTGCATTACGGTCCTTGGCTGAAACAATATCATTTTTGTTATAACATCTAAGGGAACACCTTCATTCTGCAAAAGGGCCACATTGGGTTGAATTGTACTCACACTATCCATGTTTAACAGCCATGAAGAGCGCTTGGCCGCCGCCAACATATCATTGGTTGAAAGCAATTTCTTGAGAAATTGAACTGCTGGTTTTATGTGAGAATCCAAACTCCGAGTCAAAATGACTGGATTCAATAAAACGAGCTCTGGCAGATTCTGACCCACAAAGCCATTTTCAATAAGAAAGTTGAATTTGGGCTCCAGATTGTTGAGTACCTTGTAATGGAGGATTGTGGGCCGCTTGGTGATCAATTTGGCGATTTGGGCATCATCAAATCCGTTGGATTTCAAGAATTTGAGCATAAAATCTATCCGATGGGTTTGCTTCTTATCAATCTGGAGCTTCTTGGAGGTTGAGATTGCAGATTCTAAAGGAAGCCCGCATGACTGCACCAGGTACTCAACTGTAAAAGATGAACATAATGCAGATGTAGGCGTTGGTAATGTTGCAAGAAGGCGTTTTTGTACTAAAGAATGCAGATTTCTGAGGACAATGTTAGCCATTTTGGTAGCCGATGTTCACACTGTAACACAAATTTCCCGCTGTAGCCAGACCGGAAAGATTGGAATCGAATAGGTAACTAGGGTTTTTGCTGGGCTTTTCGGTTTTTCCTTTTTCGGTAGAGGGGAAAATTATTTGGACCCGACAACAGTTAAACTAAGTACACCCTACATTAGGGCAAAAGTGCTTCTTAGAGAAGCAGTGCTTCTTAGAAAAGCAGTGCCAAACAAGTCCTAAGTCATTTTTTTGTCCTGTAGTTTATCAATTTACCATTTTTGTTCCGTAGTTTCAATACACATTCCAATTCAAATCCCTCTCTATTCCATTATGTTTTTGACCACTCGTCACTCACGGGGGGGTATTATGATCCATTTGAGCTATTTTTTTTTCCAATTCACTCAAATTTTAACCCAAAAATAAATTTTTTCACAAAACTCTAATCTCAAAAATCAGGCATAAAGTGAATGAAAATAATTCGAGCTTATGTTTTATCACTGGATGGTTCCAATGGATTGAAATATCCCTCATAAGCACGTTGTCAAAACTTTATAAAATTGGGAAGAATTAAATAGAAATTAAAACGTGCTTTTGAATTGCTTAGAATTGAAAACTGAAATAGTAAAATTCAAACTATGCTGGCAAAAAAAGAAGAAGATAAAATTGAAACTATGGACCAGTGTTAAAAACGATAAAATACATCGACCAAAAATAACAATGCCTTTTTTTTTTTTTCCTTGTATTTTTTAATTTTAAACGTCTTCAAATCTCCTTTTCCATAACGCTTTCATTTTGCTTGTTTTTGCTCTTTGTATTCTCAGTTAATCAACTCCTGAATCGCCAACGGGTCTAGTCTAGTGGAGAAAGATGGTGACATCTTGTAAACTAGAGATCTCATGTTTGAACCTCCATAACATCATAATTGTGTGTGTAGGAGAAATCCTTCTCTCTTGTGATTTATGCCTTGTTTGGTGGACTGGACTGGACTGGTTAGGATTGGGCTTGGAGTGTTGGATTGGACTTTAATAAGTTGTTTGGTACGTTAAGTTGGGCTAAATTGCCTCTGGATTAAAGTCCAGTCTATTGTTTGGTACAAGTATGGACTGGACTGCACTGGACTTAAATTTTTTTTTATTTTAATGTTTATTAAATTATTTAATATCAGAAATAATTATATTTAATAATAAAAACCATGTACACAAAATTAAAAATAATAAATCACATGAAGATACCATAAAAATAGTCCAAAAATTCACAAAATTAATAATAACACGAAAATTCTTTTAGAGCGGT